CAGCTGTGATGAAATCCTCTGCTAGCTGCTCATAGCTGTCAGGGAAGGTGCTCTCCAAGTGCACACTCTTCCTCCTGGCCGGTTGTGTGACTATGCAATATGCCCAAGTAGCATTGATGCTCCAAGTCTGAACCAGAGCATCCATCTTCGAGGGGGAAGAGCAGCCTCTGGAGCAGAACTGAACTGTATAGCATGTATAATTCAACTCCTCTAACTCTCCTCTCTCCTTGCAACTGCTTTTCTGAGTAGGGACCAGGATCCCAAGTGCTCAGCACTGTAACTGAATATTATGCAGAGCTTAGCTTTTCCTTAGGAATGGAAGAAGAGCTTTTCTGGTGGCACTACACCTGACAGCTTGTGATATCTGAGAGGGCCAATGATTTGTTTTTATGTACCACCCCAGGGGCACCCTCTCCAGACTTCCACTTCCCAGAATTTTGGATTTTTCTTCAAGTCGTTAATCTGGTTGCCTATATTTTTATCTAGTGCAAATGAAGCCTTGCTAACTCTCACCTCCACATCTTTCAAATTAGGCTCTGGAGCTAATGCACAGATGTGCTTGATGGATCTATCAGGAGCTGAGCATCTTGGGGACCTAAATGTGATTTCTTATCCATGTCTTCTATTTAAGCTCCCAGAAGGCAGATGATCTGTGTAAATCCTACCAGTGGTTTCCCTCGAGCTTCACACCATGGTACTAAGGGCTGCTGCTGTCCCTTTACCCCTCCCCAGCCTCCTAGCAAAGCACCCCTGCCCAATTTGGACTGTCCAACTTATACCCTGTTACCATGTTAAATATATCAGTCACATACATTCACTTGAATTGCTAGTCCCTAGTGAGTTACCAGATTTGTATAAAAACTATGCATGGCACATTCTAACAGAAATAAAAGGCCTTCATAAGTTACTCGGATTGGTCACACCTGACAGAGCAGGTTTCCCTCCCATCCCACCTTTAGTTAGAAATCCCCCTGTGTTAGAAATCCTTCTTGATGACCTGGACAAAAGATATATTCCAGCATCATGAGCAAATGAGTACACATATACATATGGGCAAGTAAACCCAAATAAAATCAGTCAGGGATAGGAAGTCTTGTTTGTACACAAAAATAGCCATGTTTGTTAAGAAGCTTAATGCTGGTTGTTATTTGTAGAAATTACTTTGGCTTTGCTGGTGCAATATAAAATCTACTAAGCTGTCCTTCACTAAGTACTATTTTATTTTGTTTGTTTGAAGAATGTCTGTGTCTAAAGAAACACAATGGTGGACAATATGATGGCAGCCACTTTGTTGCCAATAAGATCTCTAGGAAAGTCTCAGCCAACAAAATGAAGAAAATGATGGTACTGGGGCATCCTATATTTTTTTCACTTCTGCAGAGCGTTTCTGAACCACATCAGTTACAGCATTATAGCTTGGTCTTGTAGCTCTGCAACGTGCAGAGAGTAGCAGTGCACCTGATGAAGGACGTATTTTGTTAGAAGCGAAGCAAGATGTTCATGTTAAAACCTCCTCTCGGCTAGCATTCATGCTGTGTACCAAAAGGCCAGTGACTGGCACCATGCTTCATAAGCTCTGGCACCTGGGTGGCAGGAAAAGTCAGTTATTGTCTGTTTTCTGATACAAGAATGTTGCTCAGCTTGTTTTCCTAGTATTTTGAACTGTTTCAGGCAAAAAGCAGCAAAAGCGGTAGAGCAGGGCTATGTCTGGGTCAGATGAGTCAGATGATTACAATAGAAACAAAGTCACTCCTCATTAATTTTTCCATCTCAGGTTTTCATGAATCAGGGAGTGCTTTGTAAGGAGACAGTATTACAGTTCCATTTCCTCAGAGTGAGGCAATCTGTGCAAATGGTTCAGGGGTACCTTGAGGTTTAGAAATAAGGATGTTGTTAAAGCATAAATAAGGAATTTACAGCGAAATCACAACAGAATTTTTGAGCAATTTACAAGTGCTGGAGACCTGAGAGGATAAAGAACTGTTGTTGTCATAGATGATTTAAGATTTTTTTTTTTTACCTCGACCAGATCTAGTTGAAACGGTTATTGCATATAATGGCAACTGAAATAGAGTTATAGAAGAAGGATATGCTTTTTCAGAGAAAGGCTTGAATCACTGAAACCTTCAAAAGACAGACCTAGGTGAAAAAAGAAATTAAATGGAGACTGGAGAGGTGAGAAAAGGTATCCAGGATCTGTGGATGCAGGTTTTGGTCCCTCCAAAAGTACATCACAGCCTTAAGCACCACAACTCAGTAAAAAGGCAGGAAAATCAAGTGTAAAGACTACTCAGCCTCCATAAAAAAAGGCAGTTCTCAAAGAAATAGATGATTAGGCAAGACGTCAAACGACGTTTTTGGTTTATTCCAAAAGATGGAATAACATAAAGAATAAAAACTTCGTTGGAACTTAGTGGAAGTTGAAAAAATAGTCCATAGGCTGACCGAAAAAAAACAAATGAGGTCTGGCCATACCCACTGAGTTATGCCCACCTTGAATATTTCTTTCTGGCTCACATAAAGGGCTTAAATCTAAATTCAGTGGGACAGAAGTGTTGCACTTGTCATTAAGAAAAGAAACTCACCAGTACCACGGGAAGGAGAGGGAGAACTGCAGTAATTCCGGACACTCGGCAGGTATCCCCATGGCTGACGCGTTTGCTAGAGGGATAGCTTTGTTTATGATCTAGATGGTTATAAAGCCACTGGAAACCTGAGGTCTTGAAACCAAATAAGCACTACTCTCCAACTAGCAATGGTCTTTCACATTATTTGCCTTTTTTAAAGGGGGTTATATCTTAAATCCTTGAAGAGATGAACTAGAGATGGAAATTGTTCATGGAGGTATGTTGGCTTGGAGTAAAGCTTCGATAATCTTGTTTTAAGTCCTACTTGCCCTTTAACATATAAAGCCCTGTAACACATGAGAAATTTTCCTTTCAGCTCCTAAGTGCTTAGATTTCCATGTTTACCCAAATATTGAATAATATCTGTTTGTCTTAATAGCAGAACAGACCTGGATTACCATAAATTCAGTCTTAGCTATCCATGACACACAGTATTGTTGAAATGATCTATTTGTTAAGAGTTCTTTACTTTCCGGTTTCTTATCAATGAAATTATTGTGTTTCTGGATGGTGAGGTGCCGTTGCACTCAGGCAGAGGCTGTTTTCTGGTTGCAGGGACAGGCAAGGGACACCCAAAATGATCAGAAACCCCCACGAGATGCACAGTGTAGCCATCCTCCTTTGCAGGAACCTGTTGGCTGGCTGGCTTCCTCCTCCAGCTTGGTCCCCAGGCATAGGCCCAAGCTTGCTGAGTTACCCTACCATGGGGCTACGTGCTTTTTGAAATCCTGGTCTTCGTCCTCCATAGACCTGTTCACTCTGGGTTTGCCCACAGCACAGTTCAGCAGAGACAGTGCCATTGATGCGGCGCGCAGGAGCCGGAGAGCCATGGCATAACGTTATGCTTCCCAGGAAGGTAGTCCATAATTTCAGCAGAATCATGCAAACTGAAACTGGCGGCTGGTTACACAAAGGTTTTTACCATTGAAATGTCATGTATAATGCCTTGAAAAGTGATATTCTCTTCATTTAAAAGTACTGAACTTTTGCATCAGGCATGCAGGGTTAGCTTTTTAATTTCCTAGCATCCCAACTAAATTTTCTCATGTATTAAGCTCCCACTAAGACATTTTAGGATGGGCTAGATATCAAAAATAATAACATTTAGCACTCTCCCATTGAGACACCCGGTTTACTAGGCACAATATGACCCTAAGGTCACAACATATTCACAGGCTGCAGCGTAACACTGTGAATATGACTGCTTTAAAGTGTCATTTTGATAAACTTTATGGCCTCTATTTATCTCTATTTTGTCTGTTTTTACAGCTAAACATTTTGCAGCGCTGCTTTCTCAGGACCAGGTTGTTGTAGCTGTGCAATTACTCTGATTGAAAAGATGATTGCACTGAAGCCTCTTCTGATGATAATGATCTTACATTTATTTAGGGCCTTTCATCGCAAAATACTTCCCAAATGGGTAGGCAAAGTTATGCACATGAATTTCCCCACAATCTGCAGAAACAGAAAAACCTCTGAAGAGAAATAGGCAGTTATTTAATAGTGCACAGCAGCAGCAAACAAATGTATGTGGCAGGAAAGTGAGAAGATTTATTTTTATTTTTTGGCTTTGAGTGCCTTGGTGCAGCCCACAGCCACTGGAATTAGAAGCTCGCTGGAATAATCCATGGCAGTTCCTGGCCCCGCGCATTTTTACCTAGTCCCTTTGTTAACTGAAAACCTGCTCTTTATGTTCTGCCATTAAGTCTGATGACTCCTTTGGTCCTGTACTAGAGTAGTGGAGGAGCTTGGCGGGACTGGACTTTGCACGTCTCCTTGCCTCCGGCGCGAGGAGCAGAGCTGTGGCTCTTGGCAGAAACGTAGCCATACCGTCACAGCTGTTCAGCCCGACGCAGCTGAATGGTGCAAAGTCAAGTCAGGGAAAAGACAAACACCTCGAATTTCACTGTATTAGTGTGCAAGGCAAATAGTGCCTCAACAGCAAAATCTGTGGCGTAATAATTATATCCCTATATATTTTACGTCTAGTATAGATACATTTTATGTTTACATTCTATTATATTATAAGATTTTTTTCACTTCAGGGTTAGAAAAGAGGCAATTGCATGAAAAACAAGCAGTTGTAGAGTTGCGTTTCCCTGGCTGCGTATGCCCAGTATGAAAAGTCACTGCATGGTGGAGCCTGCTGGGGCGCGTTTCTCCAGGAAGCTCCCCGCTGCTCTGCCACCGGGGCGTGGAGGTAGCTCCTCCGCAGCCAGCCTTCAGAAAGCCTGCTTTTCGGGCAGCTTTTCTCAAGTCCCTGTGGAGTGACTTTGGCTGCACGGTTTAACAGCTCGAATGTCGCCAGCCTGGCACTGTTTGAAGCCACAAGTCCAAGTCTGCCCCGATGCTGATGTGGTTTTCTCTGAACAGGTCGCCATGGAGATGGGTCCTACTGGCCAGTGGATACGAACCTGATCGACAGAAGCAGTCTGAATGGTAAATATAGACTCCAGCTAGCTAAGTTTCATCGTTAAACTCTGTTTCAGTGGGAACCTCCTCCTCTTCTCTTCTCTTCTCTTCTCTTCTCTTCTCTTCTCTTCTCTTCTCTTCTCTTCTCTTCTCTTCTCTTCTCTTCTCTTCTCTTCTCTTCTCTTCTCTTCTCTTCTCTTCTCTTCTCTTCTCTTCTCTTCTCTTCTCTTCTCTTCTCTTCTCTTCTCTTCTCTTCTCTTCTCTTCTCTTCTCTTCTCTTCTCTTCTCTTCTCTTCTCTTCTCTTCTCTTCTCTTCTCTTCTCTTCTCTTCTCTTCTCTTCTCTTCTCTTCTCTTCTCTTCTCTTCTCTTCTCTTCTCTTCTCTTCTCTTCTCTTCTCTTCTCTTCTCTTCTCTTCTCTTCTCTTCTCTTCTCTTCTCTTCTCTTCTCTTCTCTTCTCTTCTCTTCTCTTCTCTTCTCTTCTCTTCTCTTCTCTTCTCTTCTCTTCTCTTCTCTTCTCTTCTCTTCTCTTCTCTTCTCTTCTCTTCTCTTCTCTTCTCTTCTCTTCTCTTCTCTTCTCTCTCATTTCCATCTTCCGTGGTTTGGAGGCACCCACAGTCTACCCACAGAAGTTAGAGTAACTGCTGCCTTTTGTGCGTTTTCACAAGAAGCTTTAATAAAAACCAGGGTCAGGGGCTCACCCTGCAAGTCAGTTGTTGAGGGTGAGTGGGGAGCAAAGTGAGGAGCAAAGTGGCATTGTTGGGAGCGGAGGAACCCTGCTTTGGACAGCCTGCAATTCTGCTTAAACTCTGCGAGCGGCGCAGTGAGTGCGGGGAGGTCTCCACGGGCGAGCGGGAAGCCAGGTGGGTGCAGGGAGCATCGGCGCCACACGTCCCTAGAGAAAAACCGATTTCCAGCTGAAGCACTATTGTGCATGGAGTCTCCCCCAATATCATAATCTCGCCACGACCAGGAATTTGAGATCTGCCTCAGGCCATAGACGTGCCTACAGAAAAATAACAGCTGACAAAGAATTGTAAAATGCGTTTCACATTGCGCTTCAGTTTAAGTTTCCTGCGTAAAATACCATTTTTATTAATTAATCCTGCCCCAAAATAGGAAGAAATGATAGGAAATCCCACAGGTTAAAAAAAAATTAACTGAACCTAATCGCTATTAGCTGAGGGGTAGAAGTGCCATCAGTAACTTCTTATTCCTGACCCCACATCCATTACCTAATGAAGCATTGTCGTTTCACGTTATTGAATGAAAAAACAGACAAGAGTCCCAAATATGTGGCATCACGTCAGGTTTGAAAGTACAAAATAATTACAAGGCACCTAGCTGATTAAGTCAGACTGATTATTTTCCTCAGACAAGACAAGGAGTGAATGCAAAATTTAATTCTCTTTTCCTGTCATGTTTTTCTGCGGACAATACACCATTGGTCTGTATTTTAGGCTTGCTTCTTGCTCTTAATAGTAGTTCATAAATAATGAAAATTAGTTACATCTAATTAACACTTTTTTTTTTAGCTAAACTTAGTTATTAGTTCAAAGAGCACAAGGTTTGGCTCATTACTTCAGCTGGTAAAATTCAGGCATCTCTTGATTGAGCTATTATCATGGATTGTGAAACAATCTCAAGCAATCTCAGACTTTTTCCTCTGTCTTCAGTTACACCTGCCTCTAACAGTTTTGGGGAGGATGCATTTGTTTGAATAAATAATATTGAGGTCTCAACTTGAGTCTTAGTGAAATACGTGGAGGAACTGACCATACCTTGCTAAGCTTACGGTGCAGCTTGGGACCTGTAAAATCAAACACGCAGAGAAAAACCTCAAGATAGTTGCTACCCTGCGGCCTTGGTGGTTTTGCTTGTGACATCAGATCATTTTGTTCATTGCAGTCAGTAGTCAATAATGCTTTTTTAGCTACAAATTTGCAATTTTTGGATTTTTAGGTACGTGAATTTTGAGAAGTCAAGGGAGCTCCCAGTGCCTAGAATGAAGGGTGGAGAGAGAAGGCTTTTTGTTTTTCTAAACGGTCACTGTATTGTATGTGAACTATTCATTCATTGCCATTTACTCAGCATGGAAATGAAGAAGAAATCAAAACAAATAATCTTTTGGATTTCTGTACTGGGTCATTGTAATGATAAAAGCATGATGCACACAACTGCTTGCCTTGTCTGATTGCCTCAGGAAGAGCTGTGAGAAAAGGGCAAATTATTCCGATAACTCAATTTGTTAAGTAAAGAAAGGATAATAGGTCAGAAAATCAAGGCAGAAAATTACAGTGGAATTACATCTATCACTAAACTGCTATTTGGAAAGCCTTTACCTTTTTTCATTTCTCATTCAGTTGTATTAATGGCAAAATGAAATCACAGCCATGTATTGTTTAATTTATACTGGGGAGGTTGTGGGGGTGATGTCATATGAAAACTCTTGAGAAACTCTTCTTCGGAAACGCTTGACATACTGTAGCACAGCTCCTCCTTCCATATCCCGTTCTGCTCAGTTCTCATGCATATTTAGTCTCTTTCTCCAAGCTTACGTGGAAATATGTTTTCTTTCTTCCATGAGTTTCTAATCTTACAGGATACCTTAGCAGACCAGAACGAAAGGATTATTCACGGTTCCAGATTGGTGTCGGTAACTCGTGGCCATAAGCCTTCAGCCTCTGCTGACACAAAAATCCCTTTGACCTCAGTGGGAGCTTGGCTGCAAATGGATGAAGAATTGAGCTTCATATATGAGGATATTATCAACAAGAGTCATTGTATACATGGGTATATGTGTTAGCCGAAAAGATTATAAAAATATAAAATATGCTTAAAATATGCTATTCACAATATATAATGGGGGGGAAAGAATAGAAAGCAAGGGAACAGTACTTGAAGCCAGTTTGATTGGGGCTTGACACCAGAAGTGGTGGTGTTTTCAGTCCTAGTCTTCCAGCTGCATTAAAACTAAAAGAAAACAAGGAAGCTTGTCAGTTCAGAAGATTAAGCCCTTTACCTGCTGAAGTGGTCCATGGAGATCTGGTCAGCATATCGATAAATGAAATTTAATGTAATGTGAGCCTGACTGTGAGGTGAACGCAATACTGAGAAATGAATCAAGCATCCAGGTTGGTTAACATATGAGATACATATTCTCCTGTAAATACCAAGAGAGACTATACAGGCCATAAAGAAAAAAATCCATTTTCCCCATTTTTCCATTTTCAGCTGATAGTAGCAAAAATAAGCCAAGAGTTATTGACTCCCAACACCTGGTTATTAATGCCTGGAAAGTGTAAAGTCGTTATGGCTTAAATATTTTCCTATTCGCTATACCCCTGAAATGCAGTGAGGCATAAATTTCAGCTCTTTATGACACCGTTCTGAGCCCACGGTCCGCTTTGTGAGAGGAATCCCTGCAACCAGACATTAAATTTTGTCTCTTTTTATGAGTGACTTCTAAAGAAGGAGGGGAGTAAATGGCAGTTGTGTCCTGTTAAGCAGTTTGTCCATTTGGGCATCAAATAAGTGGGAGGTTTCTCAAAAATGATGACTTTTCAGCGTTCACATCACAGAGGAAGTTGTGCGGCGTAGAATATCTCTATCCTCTTCCCTCTTCTGTCTGTTAATTAAAGGCAAATAACGTGTCCAGGTAATCTGATGGAAAAATCCCACAGGGATTCCCTCGTTAGCGTACTTCAGACCAGAGCTTCAAACCCACTGCTAACGATTTTGACATTGTCTGTGTTCTTCCAGAACCTCCCATAGGGCAGATGCACCCTCCGCATGGCAGCGTCACACCTCAGAAGAACAGCAACCTGCTTGTCATCATCGTCGTCACCGTCGGGGTCATTACGGTGGTGGTCGTGGTGATCGTCGCTGTCATCTGCACCAGGCGTTCCTCGGCGCAGCAGAGGAAGTAAGTTTGCTAATTGCAGAACGGAAGGAAAATGCGATGCAAGGGTCACCTTGCTGACCCTTAGCTTCAAAGCAGATATGGGCAATAATGTTCATACCACCGAGATGTGGAGTCTAGGGACTGAACTGCGTTTTTGAGCCTGGCTCTTGTGTGGTTTTCAGGTGGCATGGCCTTGGGGAAGCTGGACGTAGTCAGTGAGTGGAGAATGTCCTGTGTTCCCTGGGTGCAGCATAAGCCATGGCAAATAAGTACCCCTGACATGGCTAGCCTTGAAAAATAAGTCTGCCAGGCATAGCTCTCCGTTCTTTATGTTGTTGAGCGTAATTCAGACACAGGAAATAATCAATCCCATTGATTTAAAGGAAAAAAAAAAAGTACTTATCTATGCTTGGTGATGCTGTCAGACTTTCTGACTCCCCAGCACTGTATCTGCACAGCTGAGAAAGACAGACGTTCTTGCTTACTTGCTAGCTTTTTGTGAGGATGTTATCCTCTCTAGACAGTCTGTCCCCAAAAGTCTTCCAGTAAAAGGAGCCAACATCTGCTTCTCCAGATAATTCTCATGTACTTGGAAAAAAATTCTATAGAACATTACTGGGAAAAAATCTGTAGGATGTAATAAAAGGGCAGCAGCATAAGGTGCAAAGCTTTTTGCAGTTTTTATGAGAAATTAGAGGTGACATCAAGGCCTGGTGAAAGATTAAATGACTCCACTGGAGTCAATGAATTGGCAACAGAGCTCGGTTTGATGCATTTAATTTATTGAAAATTATTCAGTAAAGGGATTCATTATTATACTATCGTGAAAGATTGGACTCGTGAAAGTAAAATTTAATCATAGTTTGCCCACAAGGATGATAAATGTTTGGACTAAGAGCAAGACAAAATCTATTACATTGATTTGCATTGATGCTTAAGAAAAGGGTGGAACAGTGAATGAGTGGTCAGGGGACTAAGCAGTTCCCATGTATGCGGAAATCATCTTCGAGCTGGTCAAGCAGAGACAGATGGCATCTTGTAGTATTTTATGGTCACAAGGAGAAATGCTTTCTCTAAAGATCAACGTTTGGAGGTAGATTTTTTAAAAATAAAATAAAAAGCTCCCCTTTTGGCACAAAAATAAGGGCCTGTGCTTTTAGGAGAGCTCGGGTAGTTGAATGCCAAACTGATTTGAAAATCTGCTTCAATTATTAGTCTTAAGAGCTGAAAATCAGGCCATCATGTGAAGACAACGGAAATCCTACTGTTGCGTACAGTGTTTGGTGAATCAAGACTGAAGCTCTCTTGAGTTTCTGATGGGGAAAGAGGACTCATGGGGGAGAGAAACAGATAGAGAGATTCATGTGCCCAGCATTATGTATCTAAAAATTAAAAACTAAAATTGGAATTAGTCAACCTGGACCTCCTTTGTAGGCCATGGGAAGGATCAGGGATGTTCAGAGAATGATTCGTCTTCTCCTAAGATAGACGTTAGAGGACTTGCCATCTGAAGCTGCTTATTTCTCTCCGTTGATTGCAAAATGTGAGTCTGGTGAATTTGGATTTGTTGTTTAACTTTTAAACGTCTACACTTTGGGCAGATGAATCCCACCCAAGTTACCCCAAGCCAACTCTTTCTGTATTGAAAGTGAGGAAAAATAATGCAATAAAAATTAAACAATGGACCTTAAATGTAGCACAAAACCTGAACGTCTTCAAAGCAGAATAATGGTATGAATTATTTTGTTTCTGACCTGGCTGAAGAGATGCATACTGTGAAACAAATCATATGGATGCAGGCTTTATCGGTGGTCTAGTCTGGTTCTTATTTTAAAATCGCCAATGGACTTCTGAACAACAGAACTACAATAAGGGTAAAGGCCTTTGGGTAATGCATGTGTCTTTCCTCAGAGCAAAAACTCTTAGGTGACGGAATAATCTCCTGTAAGCCTTCAGTGGAGGAAACTCATATTTCTTAAGTTAATTAAAACTTGACTGAACGAAGCACAATAAAGTCTGTTATGCAGAACAACCTGGTACTGACCTGGATGGCTTAGTACATATTTTCTGTCTTTGTCATCTAGGAAAGAATGAAATATCAGCCACGCAAACTGTGTGACAAATTTGACGTCAGTAAGAAACGGGGGAGAAAAAAGTGATTAACATTTCAGGCTTAATAACTTATTTGGTTGTGCATAAGGGAGAACATATGACTCCTGTAGCAATTGAGATTCATCCCCTCACAATAATTATGCTTCTGCCATCCCGCGGGCTCGCTGCCCTGCGTGGTGGACACGTCCGCTGGGTGCAGGGCCGGGGTGGGGACGGCCAGGGGCTGTGCATCAACTCCGGTCCTGGCTCCTCTGTGTACTGTGACAAGCCTCCCAGGCCAGGCACTTCAGCTCAGAGCTGAAAATTAGACAGAATTAATCCCAATCTAATCATAAAGCAAAGGACTATATCGCTTTGTGCAGCTTACACCTGAGCTGTGGGACCTGCTTCCTGCAGGAGTTCTTTAAGGCTTCATGGTAAGCAATAACTTGTAATAGCAAACATATATTGTATAAGAAAAAGTGGTTCATGGCACTTGTAACGTGCCGGAACAATTAGCCTATGGACTAATAGCAGGAGGTTATGGCTACTGCGAGAGGAGAGATAAGGGCGAACATGTCATCCCCTCCCGGTAGGTAGATAGTGTATATTTAAACCATTAAATGTATGGACGTAGTCCTGAGCAAGCGTCTAACCAGTTAGCAAGCTAGGCTGTGGAGCGGGGTAAAGAGAGACCACAAGAAATGAGCTAAGACTCGTTTCAAGTCCTTTGCAACGGATAGGGATCTGCGAGCACGGGTTCGGGAAGGCTCAGGGCGCAGGAGCGTGAGCTGGCAGCCGCGCAGGAGCTTCAGCATGTCGCTGCTGCTTTCCCTGGAGAGGCGATCCCTGCTGCCCGTGTCGCTGTGCCTCCACCCCGGTGTTGCTCCTTAGCCGTGGCCGCTGCTTTTGTCTCCTGCCCGGTCGGCATGAGCTGAGTTTCGGCGGCGGGAGAGGACGAGTGAAACCGGGTGATAGCTAGCTAGCAGGAGATAAGGTGAGATAATTTTAGGGAACTGGGAAAGGTCTCATCGGGCTTCCTTTGGCTTTATTTGTCTCTAGCTGCGGGGGGACAGGATCTCTGCCTTCCAGAAGACTTCCCACGTGGCACTGTAATGGGTTGGAACCGGAGACTCAAAGCTCTTCTCCTGCAGGGGTCCAAACAGCTTGTCCAAAGGTCTGATGCCAATATGTTGGCAGCTCGGGGCCCCGGGCATGATTTTGCCAGGTTAAGAGTAAAGGGCAGAAAATATAATAATATTTTAGATATAATATGCATTATATGCATATATAGATTATAGATATAGATTATAGCTATATAGATTGTATACATATACAGATAATAATATATTTTTGGCAATTCGTGCATCAGCAGGGACGACGAAGGTGTAATAAGGTTGGCATTTAGTGCTGAATATCTCCGAAGTACTCTACGGGCAGCAGCCCACGGAGGCTCGGGGTGCGCTTGGGAGGCAGCGGCGGTAATTGAACCTTCCTCCCTTCCTCGCCTGGCGGCGGGTGCAGGATTGGTGCAGAGACCTGCCCACCGTCTGGGCCGGACGGGTCTGTGTTTCCCTCCCTGCAGCAGCCTTCTCATCAGCAGGGAGAAGACAGAAAAGCCAGCGAGGGCTGGATGGTTACCTGGGTCTTAGGCTAGCCAAAGCCTGTTTTGCAGTTCTTCCCGGAGAACAGTTTATTTCTAGGATCGTCACGTATGGAAATCTTAAACTGTTGTTTGAAAAAAAATAAACCCAGCAGAGCTGTTGCAACATTACCTGTTTTCCCTGGGGTGTTGTAACTGTAAAGTGCAGGCAATGAAGAATAATGTCACCCCAGATTATTTCAGCATTGTATCCTGTGTAGCGTGCGTGCGTTGTTGCTATTCTTAGCTATATGGGTGTGCTGTCTAATAGATCCAGCCAGCGACCAGGCTGTGTTCTGCTTGTAGCTGCAGAAATAGACAATGAAAAAGAGTTTCCTCTCCAAAAAATGTATTTGTGTGCAAAGTACAATATGTAGCTTCGGTTCTGCTATCATTATATGAGATTGCGTGACCATGATATATATATTTTAAGGATAGAGCTGAACTCTGTTTTCACATGTATCCTGAGGGGAAAAAAAAAACAAAAACCAAAAAACCCCATCGTTCTGGTATGCAAGTTTGATGCATTTCATGTTGTAAAATAATTGAACAGCAACTGAAACACTGCCATCTGGGATCAGTTTTTCAGTTCTAAACTCCTCGTCTTCCCACTCCCTTTTCTAGTTATGAAACAAGTATTGGGCTGACTTTGAATCCCAGTGTAAGTCAGGAGTCGCTACAGGCACTTCCGAAGCATCCGTTCCCGTTGCTGGAACTGAGGTTCGAAGCTGACCGTTGATGCTCTTATGATGGTCCTCTATATATCTCATGTGCCCATCTGGTGTAGCAAAGTTACTGCCCCTCACTGAAGTTCAGGGTAGATGCATATTCAGGAGAACTTCAAGTTCTGCATTGCGCAAACAAAATATGCTATGGGATGATTTATTTTCATTTGTTATTGATGACCTTTTCGGATGCACTCCTGGCTCTAATTCAATTTGCTACTCACGGGCTATGAGAACATCAATAATTTGTGAGAAAAAACAATGTAAACCAGGCTAGATCATTGCATGTATTTTTAAATGATATCATTGCTGTAGCAATTTTGTAGTTATGGTTGGAATGACACATTCATTATAACCCCCTATTTACAGTTGTGTATAAAATTACTTTGGGGCTGAAATTCCCCTTGCCTAGCTCAAGCCTGGAGAAATGAATTATTTTCAATTGAACCTGACAAAAAAGCTGTTGTATCCCAAAGTGAAGAAAATAATTCCTTGTTTAGAACAAAAATTGTGAGGTTTTTTTGAAGGAGATAGATAGAAAAAAAAAGGTGTTTTTTTTCTATATATATTAAGGTTTGAGTGAAGGCACTTATTGTTACTCTCCTAAGTGTTAAACCAGGAGACTGTGCTAGAGTCTGTTACAAGAAGGTATTAAAGAACTGTCCCTGTTCCATATCAATGCCTTTGCCTTGGTCTTAGAAGTACTGTCATTTTAAATAATCAAGTTTTGGCAATTAGAAAATAACAAACTAAACATCGGAAGTAATTATGCCCAGAGATGAGTCTTACTTCTTGGGCGCTGTATAAGGATGGACTGACAGATGTCTCTGAATAGCCCCGGGCTTATCTTCCCTACTAACTTTCCAAATCCCATTTTAAAATAAAACTTTGAACCTTGAGGAGCATTCAGGTTGTTGAACTAGTCAAAGGAAACAAAACAATTTCTACTTTTAAGGCCAGTTGCTTGAGGAGTGGGGTATTTCTGCTGACTACAGGAAATGTCATTGCCATTGACTTCTGGGTATGCAAGAGGACCGTGCCCTGAACGTCTCTGAAATTATGAGATGTGTTTGTTCCTTGTCTTGCATGCAAAATGTTTGGTGATGCACATGGTTGTTGTACATACCATTTGATTTCTAGATCCGACTCAGAAAATTAGGCAAAGAACAGAAATTTATTCAAGCTCTTGGACTATCTTAAAGTCTAAAACTTTCTCAAAATCTTTTCAGGTAGAATAAACCCCATGCCATGTTTCACAATGCTGCCTGTGTGGCATGTTATAGAAAGACTGTTACCAACATGTACATATCTGAACGATATAAACGTGATGCAAATCCTATGGAAGTCGGTGAGAAATTTTATATTGATCTAAGTGAATTCAGAAAAAAGCCTTCACTTCAGCGGGTGCACAACTGCGTTTTGAGGTGAACAAGTAATGGGAGTGAGAAGCAGTTGTGAGCACCCACTACCCTTGGAAATCAAGGATTTCTTTTTTTGTTGTTTTTTAGCTAAAGGAGTATATGAATTTTGAAAGTATTGGCCTGCAGCTTTTTGTATCTCACATATATTTCTGCTTTCACACGCGGAAGAGTAATGCAAAAGAGTAATGTAAAAGTAAGTTACTTTCACACAGTACTTTTTGAGATGTGCAAAGGAAAAGCGCTGTGTAAGAGTTTGTTCTGATACTGAGCAAAAACACTCATAATAAGCTAGAGAAGCCGTTCTTGAGGAGTGAGTAAAATTGATAAACTTCCAGTAAGATTTTAGATAAGATTTTCGGTATTACGTAGCTACGACCAAAGCTCTAGCATTGCCATCCGTCATGTTGACCATCTCTCAGCTCCAGCCTAGGGGGCCTGGGGAGTGCCTTTTTGCCTGGTCATTTCTCTTTGACATGTCCGTCCCGAGCGGTCCTGCAAGGAGCCAATTCTCCTGCTGGCGTGGCCTTCAAAGGGTGGTGGCTGTTCACTGCGACAAGGTGTACTCCCCAGAGAAGGTGGCCCACTGAAGGAAGGACATATTGCAATGCATATGCATGAGGAGAACAAAGTTAATGTTGCTCTAGGTTATGCCACTCTGAATTTCTTAGCTTTTCTGTAATAAAAATCATGTTTTAATGTATATTTAAAGAAATATAACATATGCTTCACTCATCTGTGGAAAGCGTAAGATGTGCCTAGCTCAGCAGAAATGAGCTCAGCAGTTTTCAATTGCTGTTTCTCGATGCAGATACTTCACAAATTATATTCTTCCCGAGAGGAAATTCACCACTTCCCTTCTGTTTCAGGAAGAACGTTTTGCTCCAATTTGTATATCGGCTGGTGCAAAAATGACCTACCTGCTGAGCCCCAGGCCCATTTTCTGGAGCAAATACCGTTTTTGACTCCCCCTTGCCCTCTTTCATTCATCTGCTGAACATATGCTCTCAGAGAGGCACCTTATGCCTGGCTGCAAGGACTTGGCAAGTGGCTTCATCTGGAACAAGCACCAGAGCCACTCCATGGTTCACCGAGCAGCTGGTGCTGGAGCCGTGAGACACCTGGCAGCCGCCTTGCCCTCGGAATTTATGTGGCACCTAAACAATATATTTTTCTACAGGCCCTTAAAAGCATAAGGAAACAGTGAACATAACTAGTGCCTGTCCTCTGAGGGACATAATCAAAGGGATTCTCTGCAGAGATACCAAGGAGTAGACATCGCTCAATTCTGGTTTCTCACTATTCTTCTGGTTTCACCAAGGGGGGAATATTCTTAAGTGACAGTCTTGGTTTTTATTTGCTGCAGGAAACGTGCCACCCACAGTGCTGGTAAAAGAAAGGGCAGTCAGAAGGATTTGAGGCCTCCAGATCTCTGGATACACCATGAAGAGATGGAGATGAAGAACATCGAGAAGCCGGCGGGCTCCGACACTGCAGGAAGAGAGTCCCCCATACAGAGCTGCCAGGACATCACCCCCGTCAGTCACAGCCAGTCCGAGACGCAGCTGGGCAGCAAGAGCGCCCCGCAGTCCGGTAACGCTCCCGCGCGCATGGCTGTAGCCCAGCCTGGCCGAGCTCCTTCTGCTGCCCAGGCTGCGTACTGCTGTGTAATGCACGCCTGAAATTCGTATTTCGCAGCAGTGCGGGAGGCGGAGGAGACGCCGTGGGCGTGCGGGCTGCTCCCCGGGGAGCCCTTGCCTCCTCGCGGCGGGGCGCCCGGCTCAACCGGCTGTCAGCTCGAGCAACGTCCAGCTGGGAAGCTCCGGCCATGGGAGGCTTTGGGTGACTTCCTAAATCTAAACAGAAAGAAAATCAGCTTATTTTATACTTTGTCTGTAGATATGGGCGAGTTAGAGTCCTTGTGTTCCAAATTTTTTCTCCACCACTAGAGCTACAAATTTACTTTAAAATAATTTGCTATTGCTGGATAATAACCCTTCTCCAGCTTTTGGAGTCACTAGCAGAGGGCTAAACATTGTAGGATTCAGGAGGAAATTGCCAGAATTGACAGCATAGCTATGGGCACTGGGAGAGATGGTCCTTCTCCAGCTCTTCTGCATAGAAACCATGCCTATTTTGTATGGACACCTTCCAATATGATAAAAGCAGAGCATTTCATAGAATTAAAAGCCATTGATACAAGGAAAAAGATCACCAGATCCATAAGATTTTAAACAATACCTGAAATTTTTACCTTATCATTGTTAAATATTCACTATTGCTTTAGTAGCTAAGAATACTTTTATAACAAAATCAAATATTAAGAAACCTGATAGACTTTGTGGAAAAAAAAAACCACTACATAATGTTCACATCAATTTCTGGCTAGGGGAAAACCTATCATTTTTTTATTTCTGCACTGCTCTAACTTTATAAGTTCAGAAATTCAACTAGAAGTCAAATGTAAGTTACTTTGGCATGTTTGCATGCCATATTAGAAATAGAGGCATGCCGGGAGCAAGAGAGGGCAGGGAGAAGAAAGTGAGGAAAAAAAGAAATGAAAAACGGAGCCGAGGAAGAACATGAATTTCAGCAACATAACTGAGATCAGAATTTGGCCCAGGAAGACTGAGAAAAGCTATGAGAAAAGTAATCCTATAACCAAAAAATAGTGTCAGTGAAGTGGTGGTAGGCAGCATAGATCTTTTTTTCTTCTTCTCTTTTTAACCTTAATGCACACAACACATCACAGGTTTCACTTTAGCTAAAGATATTTTTTCCAGCACGATAACAGAGCGTCTTGGGAGAGGCAGGTGGTGCGTTCAGACAGGGACAGAGGGCGAGGAACACAGTACACAAGTTGAAAACATAAACATATTTGTCTTGAGTTCATAATGAATGAATTGCTTGTGCACCATCCCGAGTGTGAGTTGGGCAGGTGAGTAATGAAGATGACTTTTCCAGATGGCTCTGGTGGTTATGTCTCTATTCCATAGCTCCCATTATTGCAAGGAAAGAAAAGTTATGAAAAGAACCGTTTTCAAATTTCTGAATGCGTCTGATTTTGTTTTTCTGATGTTGTATTTGGGGCTGATGACTTGCTATTTATGAAGATGGTTGTGACAATGATTTGTATTGTTTTTAATGTAAAGGTTCTCATTATAGTAGACACTATGAAAGCATAAACACCTGCTGCCCAAACAGATACTGCTGATGGTCAGGAGACCAAGACCCCAAGACCCCAAAAGATCAGTGTGAGAGCTCCATTGATTTCAATGGGCTTTCAGTCGAGTGCATGGTAGGAAGTCATCACAACATATGAGCAACTTAATGGTAAAGGCTGGGCTAGATAGTTTTTGTGTAAACACCTTGGACTGTAAACAAATGCTTTTATATTGCTTGCATTCTGTAATACCTAGATGAGTAATACTGTCCCTGGCTTTTTAGTGGCAATTAGACCTTAGAGAAGGCATTGATAGAAGACCTGATATTTCAATCCTGAAATTCGGAGCAGCATAATATGAAAAAAAAAAATCTTTTTATGCAAATTTTTTAAGGCATATGTGTTTGCTGAGGAGCATCAGAGATGAATAGTCTGAGTGAATATTAAGTTTATAGCAGGACAGTAATAAATTGATTTCATCAACAGTTTATTAAAATAGCAAAAGTAACATTAATATAATGTTTGTGTGAGACAAGGTATGAAGCAAGAAATACAGCTTCTATTTCATTGCAAATTACTGCACTGAACATCCAGTTCCAAGCAAATTTACTTTCTGACAAATACGTTCTCTAGAATCTTTGAATACTTCAAATATCCTATGTTAATGCAGCTAAATTAGCACATCCATATTTCAGTACCTAAACAGAATGACTAATTTATGGAGCGGCTGAGCCCGTTTTGAATTGGGTTGGGCATAGGCATAGCTGCCTGTGTCGAGACTGCAGCATTAGGCGATGCTTCTCAACCCTTTAATCTGGATGTGTGTGCTAGCTGTGAACCAGGCCCAAAAGGAGGCAAGATCCAGGCACGTCTTTAACTTGCCACAGTTGCTGTGGTAGGAAAAAACAAGATGCCCAGGCTGGAAGAGCCACAGTGCGCTCCAAGAGGGTCTACAGCCTGGGCAGTCAGGACGCTGGGACTTCAGGGCATGCCACAGGGCAAGCTGATTTCACAGTTTCCATGTGCCAATTTTTGGCTGCTATAATTTGTAGGTACTGAAATTTATGCACCCTACTTTGCCATTTCTGGTTTTGATATTTGGATTTTAAAATATATTTTTAACAAGGAGGTTACAAGAAAGATGAATCATTTTTATGAATTGAATGGGCTGTTTGGGGTAATTTCAGGGAGAAAGAAAAATTAAATCATGGAAAAGAAGAACATATCTTAGTTCTCTTCCAGAAAAATGAAAGCAATCACTTTATTTGGAAAATGCAGCCAGAAAAGCCTGTGCAGCCCTTTGTAGGTGATGATGTTTAACAATCAGTTTAAATAACGAAACTCCAAAAAAAAAAAAAATCCATTGATCTTACTGCTAGTTGTAAAGTAAGAGAGACATTCATTTATAGCATTTTCAACTAAGCTGTTGTGTTATTTTTTCGGTAGGTCCTGAGACAGAGGACGCTGGAAGTAGCATGTCCACGTTGGAGCGCTCACTTGCCGCCCGCAGAGCCACCCGTGCCAAGCTCATGATTCCCATGGATTCACAGCCAAACAACCCTCGTGAGTACAAGAGCATCCCCTGGCCCACGTCCGCACACCGCAGGCAGTGCCTCACCCATCCGGAGGTTTCCTGCTACCTAACAAATATGGTCTAGTTACACTTCCCAGAGTTAAATAGCATCAGTCACGTTTTCTTCTTCTTCGGAAAAAAAAAAAGGTTTGGAAGCTTTCCGAAGCGTCACAATAGATCGATGGAAGTACTATGGAGAGAATTCAGAAATAATGCTTTTACTAGATTCAGCATGGGCTAAGTATAGGAGTGAAGGGTTATGTTTTTGCCAGGCAGATAGTGATGGATAAATCCCTCCGTTTCCCTCCTATAAAACTAAAAAACCTAGCAAAATGGTTCGAGCCAGCAGAGGAGAATGTTTTAGGATACACAGACATAAAAGGTGATATTACTATTTTCAGTGTTGATAATCAGCTGGACGGTATTGTGAATAACTTCTCCAGTTTCTGCTATATCTTCTTTTGTGTATAGTAGTTGGCTTTCTTGCCACCATATGCTTTTTTGTAAGGAGCTGCTCTCCTTATACAGCCAAGTAAATTAAGAGAAAGAGATATTTTTAATAGTGTTAAATTTTAGCAATGACAGCTTATCGTTGAATTAATTTCATAGATGAAATCAACCTTTTGCAAAGCAACAAGGTGCATGAGAACGACAGGAAGGCTGGAGAGCGTTCATAGGTTCTCCCATCCTGATGAACTTCGTAAAATTTATGAAGTGACCTTGTTTTGCCTCTGAACAAAGAAAAGGAATGAGTGAGAGCCCTGAAGAGTGGCTCAGGCACTGTTCGAGTTCCTGGTGCGGAGGGATGCTAAAGAGGGAAGTGAAGGCACGTCTCCACTTTGTTGTCTGAGCAGCCCTGTGATGAGCTTTTGACACTTCTCATGTCAGTTGTTTCTCAGCTTCAGGCAGGAAGTTCTGCCTTTGACCTCAGAAAATATATACAGTTAAAAATGTGTAGGAGCTGGCACAGCTATGTAAATAGTTTGAGTTAGAAATCACAGATAGCCATTTCTTTACAAAATTATATGTAAGTACCTATTTGTGGGTTTATGGAAGGGCACATCACAATGATGCATTTTAAAAAGTACATGGAACTGAATGAAGGAGAAGAGGGGGAATAACCTGCCATGCCTTTATGCAGTAAATTGCTTACTGGGAACTAGTAACTGTCCCTTTAATCTGTGTTCATTAGGGGTGCAGTTTGGGTCAGGCCGCTAACTCCTAAGTAACCAGCCCTTATGAGGATAAATGACAGGAGTCTGGGGAGAGATTAACTTCCAGTTCCTCAAGCCATGGACTGAACATATTGCCTCATTTCAGCTGCTGTTCACTTTATGGGCTGGGAGAAAGGCTGCTGGAAGAAAGCTCTTAGTAATACCAGGCGTTCCCTAGGAAATGTTCCCGTCTTGTAACCACGCTAATCTCATAATTAGGCAATCTTTCAATGGGATTCCTCTTGATTTGGTGTGGTTTGAAGGAGGGCAGCAATCCAAGAAAATGGATGCACTTCAGAGTGTTGTAAGCAAAATCAGAACCAAATTAATTGTAATTACAATGGTTCGATAGCACAGTTAATTAAATGGAAGTCAGGTCAGCATTGTTCTACAGCATATAGATAAAAGCACTCTGAAAGATTTCTAATTTTTTAAATCACAATTATTCTTTTTGAGGAATTCTTTTCTATTTGTTTCTATTTCCTACAGTGTAAATCTAATCTATAGAGGCACAATATTATGATTGTTTGGAAATAATTAAAGTCAGACTTATAAAAGTCCTATTTACACATTTCAGGCTGAGTTAGGCTAAAAATGTTTCTTTTCCCAGAAAATAAAATCGAGGCTGTGTCATGTTTTAATTAATCTCTCTCAGCTTGCATGATACTGAAAGGAATTGTCAGCAAAAAGCTATTAAATAGCTTGAAGAAGCACCATCATAATTCCGATGTAAAAACATTTATCTTTAAATATTAAATACCAAATCCAGGCAAATCTGGAAGTATTCATGAACATCCCAATATTCACTATTTGCAGTCTTTCAGGAAAAAAAATATACTCCGTAATGGGCCTTTGCCTACTGAAGTGAAAGGAGCATAAAACAGGCTTTGGCGATATTTTTGATGGTTCTAATCCAAGCATGATTGTAATTTTGGAAGCTACTTCAAATTCTGCCGCTAAGCCTGATGAAGGCAATTAAAGGACATTCCAAAGGGACTTGAGATAGCATTAAGATTGCAGAATCAATGCCTTTCTCTCCTGCCACGGCACAATGAGAAGAAGGGAACCCACACAAGGCAGAAATTGTAAAATAGCTTGAGAATCTTTTAATTTTGTAGCCAATACAGAGGTCAAGTCTCATGGTCATGCTATGCTGAAGCAAGTGAGGAGAAGGTACCAAGGCTGCTGGGTGGAGAGGAGAAGACTTCAAGGATGAAGAGTGCTTTAGGCTTCTCTCCATCGCCAGTCCCTTCCTTCCATACCATGTAATGAAGCCCTGCCCGACACTGTGTCGTTCTGAGCGTCAGCTGCCTTCTGTGGCATTCTGAAATGAAGACGTATATCTCTAACCCCAAATCCATGTTTGCTTAGAGGTGACTGAAAAATGGAGACACCAAATCAATGAGAACTTATGGGACAAGCAAATAATGGGAAATTTTCAATGCTGAAAACTCCATTTTCAATGTTGTTGGTAGAGCGTGCGATACTACAACTTTCTCAGCCACAGCAGAGCGTGTTTGTTGGAATATTCTGAATCAGTCAGAACTTCATAATAAACTAGTTAATGTGAAAAGTAACTGAGAAAGTCTTTGCAGGGTATCACATTCAAATATTTTACCTATAGTTTTCCTGGTTTTCTGTTGGTAATGTTTACTTCTTATGGAAGAAGAAAAAAAAATGTTCACAGAATAAATCAGCTTGGAAAGAGAGAGAGTTTTCCTATGTTTCTGGGAGGTTTTTTTTCTGTAGTTCCCCCTCCCTCAAATTGCAGAAAATCATGGTTCTTTTTTAGGAGAAATATGATCATGTTGACTCAGTTGCTTTGGCTGCTTCTGGGGTGCTTGAATACAATTTAAAATTTTCTACTTTGTCATTTCTGTAAGCTGTTCTTGGGTGCTGCATTTTTACAGGCTGTAGTACATTTTAGATGTAGAACAGTGTTTAGGGAGCTCCATGATTTGGTTAGGGAATTTCTGTTTTAGTGTCGTAGTATATCAATAGTAAGTATAAATTCAATTGCTGACAGACTGTGACAGAACAGATCTGCTGTCATATTTGCTCAAAATTGCAAAGACTTATTGAAAATGTTTGATGTTAACCTTTCCCCAGCTTCTCTGCAATAGAGTGCTGCAGTGAATAATAATCCTGACTTATTTTAAAGAAGAAAGTGCTGGATGTCTACACCCTAAAAAGAAATGAAGGAGTGGACTTGAAAAAACAAGTTTTTTAATAGGATTCAATAAAGAATGATCGTTTTTACTCTAGTAATAATAATGTTATAGATTTTGTCAATAAAAATATCTTGTGCAGTCAAAATGAAATGTCTGAAGAGTAAGAAGTCTCTTCTCAGGATGTGTGCATTTAAACCTAGACAACTTTGAAGTTCGTATCACTCCGGTTATCATTTCTTTGTGAGTTTTGTACATATTACACTTGTCTGCGACATCTGGAAATACAGCATTGTCTCCCTGAAAGCTGTGTTCTTAAAAAAACGTCGTAAAGCCTTGGCACCGTTGCAGCTTCTTGAGTGACCTTGGGCAGAATGCCCAGTTTGCCAGTCTGTGTAATGGATGTAGTAAGAGCTAGAAGTAATTGTAATGACTATTTTAAAGTTTAAAGCATTGTTTGTAATTCATGTGTGAAAGGTGCTATATAAGCCAAAACTTATCATCAGTGAGCCAAAAGAAAATCTCTTCGTGTTGTTTATCTAGGCAAAACTTTACTGAGAGTTTTTCCTGAAAGCTACACAGAAATTCATGGTTTGTATAGTACTATTATCATCAATTCTTCATGCCTTGACTATTGAAAATAAAGGATAATTCACAGGAAAGCCTGAATTTGGCAAGTTGTGATCTGGTTTCCAAATCAAAGGCTTTTGTGTTAATTCAGCTCAACTTCAACTTCAAACTTTCAGCTGCTGGTTTCCTGGCACATCTCATTCCTGTTGCTGTCAGGCCTGGATGGGCGAGAACGATGCCCGGCCAGTCTCAGCTGATGCCTAAGTGTCTAAGAGCCTGGTGCTGCTGGAGATACCCAAGGCATCAGAGACATTTGTGTGAGGCCGACAGACAGGACAGGAGAGTCACAGCAGCCCCACGCTCTTC